GAGAGAGAGAGAGAGAGAGAGAGAGAGAGAGAGAGAGAGAGAGAGAGAGAGAGCGGCATACTCAGTGCCACACACGGGCCCTGCAGGGCCCGACAGTAGGGGTTAGGGTCTTTTGTAGGGTTTAGGGTCTGTGTCACCCGTAGGACCTAGTAGACCACTATCTCGTTTTGCCATCTTCTCAACAACTTCCTACTTTTGGGCTCGGGCAGACCTCTGCATTTGGGCGTCAGACTTTTCGTATTTTCGCCTGGTTCCTACTTTTGCCATCTTTTGCCATTTGGGTGCCAGACTTTTTGTATTTTTGCCTGGTCCCTGCTTTTTGCCATTTTTCGTTTTTGGCGCCAGAACAGACCCTTGTTCTTGGTGCGAGACCAGTTTTCCTTTCGGCCAGACTGTTTCCTTTCAGCCTAGGGCACTAGGCCCAGCGTTATATATAGTTGGGCCGACCTCATTCTCAACAGGTAGTTCTTCAGGCAATTCATTGAGGTAGTGCTAGGCGCTTCTCAGTGGTAGCTCTGAGGTAGTAGTGAGTAGTCTTCAGTAGTCGATGCACTGGACACAGTTAAGAGTAGTCTACAGCGCTGGGCGCGAGCTAGGAGTTGGAGCGCTGTCGCACTTTTCCTAGTCGGGCCTCCTTAGGCGACCAGAAAGCCAACAGGCTGTCACGCAGGATTTTGTTGTCGATTGGAATAAATAAATAAATTAAATAAGGCAAATCCCTTCTTGTTGTGTGCGTCCGGCTTAGAACGAGACCCTTCAATTGCGGTCTTCGTGGGTCCCCAGTCTTAGGAATCTTTTATTTTGATTCGGAACAACAAAGATTATGCGAATAATAATCTTGAAATTTCAGTGTGCCATGCATGCGTTAATTTTGCCAGTTTGCCAATTTTGAGAATCTCGACAAGCTCATCAAGAAACATAATCATCAAACAAAGTCGGTGCAAAGAACCAAGACTGACTGACTCAAAGCAAAGGCAAGATGAATGAGGGAAAGTGAGAACTCGTAATGATCTCAGAAAGTACAGATGAATAGACACGGCCAACACTAGTCAAGAGTCCTCACTCATCCCTCTAGAGTCCCCTCATCGATCTCTCATTTGGCTGTGCGTCTCTTGTGCCTTGAGCCATGTCCACATACTTCCTGATACTGTGGCCTCTGAATGTAGAGCCACCTAAAGCCTGCAAGTTCCGAGCACTTCCATCCAAGGACTCTTCCCACAAGGTAGGAAGATATGGCCTGAAGAAAACCCCTCGTCTGAGATGTCTGAACTCTGATTGTTCGGTCTCTGCCTCATAATCAATTTCCGTTGGAGAGATGTACCTCTTTGCTAGGTTTACCAAGGCACTCCAGCAGGAGCCGTCTGTTAGAAGGAATGGAACTGGGGGCCTTCGGTAGTCGGTGTATAGCTTGGTCCGAAGCTACGAACTAGCTTTGTGCCACTCCCGTCAAGTTCATACGCCCTTTCTTCGAGGTGTTCGGCTGCTGTGATCCAGTCAGAATCAAAGTGCCTATGAGTTTCCTTGTCCCTTCTCACATAGATCCTCAGCTCATAAATGGTGTCCTCTGCAAACTCGGTGAGGACAACGAAGATTGACAGATCTTCTTAGCTGAAGCCAGTTTCATTGACATATCTGCGCTGGAAAGCATCCTTGGAGGCAATCCTGTTGAGGCTAGACATGATGTCTGCTGAACTGGAAAGGAAGTGACGACACTCATGCGCGGAGGAGGTATGCTGGAAATGAACAATTTGGTGAAGAGTTCGGATTGATAATGGCCGAGGAAAATATTGGCTGAATAACACTGACGTGGACTTCGACCGAATCAACCTGAGCCAATGGTCTTCCACGATGCCTCTGATGGTTGAGATTTGAATGACAACTGATTGCCGATTTGTGTCACAAACTTTCAAATGCTGAGAGAAGTTGTAGCGTGATGGGTAATGCTCGCTGATTGATTCACTCACAAGGCCCCCGAGGAAATGAATATGAGCGGCCAACGCTCGCCTGAGTTTTACTCTGGCCTGCTCAACAGTCTCTAGTGTGGAACCAGTGCTATGTAGCTTGCCATTCAAATCATGAAAGTAAAACACGTACTCGATGTAATTTTCTTCCTCAATTCTCTGGAGTTCGTTCTCTCTCAAGACCGCTTTTTGGAGTTGCAAACTCAAAATAGCCTCTGTTTCCCAATTTTCATGTTTTTCCAAAATAACCCGGCATTTCATCACTAGGATCTCCTTATCTTTCATGTTTTCCTTCCCTTACTCCACAGATCAGAGTTGATGGGTGTCCAGCAGTGAAGAGAGAACAGAGCTGGTCTGTTGCCAGATAGTTTTGGACGGTAGGGGAACAGCTGCCCTCGAATCCTGGATTATCCGCGTCCCTTACTAATACTACCGAGAGCCCTTAAAACAAGAGTCCATAATTGCGTCACCAACGACGGACCATAACCATTCTCGGTGGCTCTTTTTTCTTTGCTTGAATGGAGAGTGCAGAGCTTTACTGAGTTGCCCCGGTTGCATGGGGTTTCATCTTCTCTTCCACAACTGAAGTTTTCCTGCACGGTCCTATTCTCTCAGACAAGCAGGATGGGTGGGATTGAGATAAATTAAATAGTTACATCCGTCACGATCTCTTTACACAACATTGGTGGAAGCGCTGCTGGAAATGTGGCCAGCCTGAATAACGCTCATGGTACTGCATACAGCGTGCCTCACTCAGAAGACATACTAACTAGTTGCACTCCTTCTGAGGTAAGCCCCTCCTAGATGGTAAGCTGACCCACTTCAAGTATCGAGGTTTGTTCGGGTGGCACAAGCATGCTGCTAAGTGATTATGGTTTCGATTAATTCACAGGGTATCACAGGTGACGAGAATCACTCAGTGGAAAAGACTAGTTTTCATCGGTGACGGAACCCCACCGCCGGCCTGGCCATGCTTGCATGGCGCTAGAGGACTCACTCGCCTGTGTACGACATCAAGTACTGCTAATTACAGCCCCCACTATTATTCAGAACCCAAGTTGAATATAAGATACACACACCCTTTGTACAGAACTCATATCAGACGGGACACAAAGCTTTTTTCGATGTCACTTATTTATTAGTCCCCGTCAAGGAGAAATTTCATTAATACATATACAACCTTCCTTAACACGGCTCTTTTCTTGCCCATCAGATCTGACTGAGTAGAAAGTCGGATACCTCTTT